ATGACATAAGTGACAAAATGCTTGGAAGTCAAGAGCAACATGCTTATGATTCAAAATAATGCTTGATATCTTTAAGATTTTAAAGCAATTGTGTGAGCTGTAGAGCCAAAAATTTCCAGAGATGAGTTTTTAGGGATGTGCATCAAAATATAAATTTGGGGTGGGGCTGTGGGTGGCAGTGCATCAGTCTGGGTATGTGCTGGGTGCTCACAGGTCTTCAGGCAGTCAGCTGGAGTTGAGGATGCTTGGCACTTCTTCCCCAAAATGCTACAAAGATGAGTGAAGTTTTAACAGGCATGAAACTTCTTCCCCACAAACAACCCTTGCAGGCATGGAGAGGTTTTGTTTTCTTTAGGGCAATAGTAAACCTGCATAATGTATTAGATTTATGCTCTGGAACAACCTTTCATCTGAAGGAAACCATAAGTTTGCATTTGGAGTAGCTAATTAAGCTGACTTCTTCTAGCCTTCATGTCCCTTGAGAGACATCTTTACCACAATTATAAAATAGTTATTATAGATGGACAGTTTTCTCTTTTGCAAAGTTGGACTATTGAACAAGTTAAAAATGTAATGGACATTTATAGTACTTTTGGAGGTGACACTAGAGGTATATAAAGTTAAACAAAATTTCAGACCTAAAGTAGGGATTTAGCTGTAACTTTTGTTGTTGAGGCATGGAAGAAAGAATATACTTCCCTTACCAGGCTGTAGTTATCAGAGGGCTCACAAGTAAATGAGGCAATTAATTCAGATATTTAAATGAGATTTAAAACAAGACTCTAAAATAACTTACCGTTTGGGGTCTGATACTTTTTTCTTCTTAAGACATTTATTAGTTAGACTTCTATCACATTTTGATTAAAGTTCCTTTAAATTATTGCACAAGCTACAACTGAGTGGAAGCATTGTTTCAATTGTGTATTTCTCCATTGTGTTTCATAACTGAAAGATTTTGCCTAAAGCAGAACCTGAGGAAGTAAGATTTTCTAAGAAGAAAGTAAAGAATTCCCTTCTAACATGGCTGCAGTCTTTATCTGTTGTAAAAACCACAAAGCAGATAGTTGCTTCCAATTAGGGATGTATTGCAAAGTGCACTTAGTCCTTTTGGTTGCAGCTGACTGCTGGGCAGAGTTGCAGAGTACCTCTTCATTTACTGTCATCTCCAAGTATTCCTAACTTCATTACTTCCCAGAGTGGTGTGTGAGCCTCTATTGTCCCCAGGAGCTGATCAGGCTCTCTTTGTATCAGCTTGGTGGCTACTGATGGTCATCCTGAGGCAGAGGAGTTGTTGGTGTCATTATCACTGGCAGCAGTGAGAGGTGATGACCACCACAAAGAGTGGAAAGGGGCTGGAAGGACAAGCCGTGGGGTGTAAAATGCTGTGGTCTTGGTGCCTGGGGAGAGCAGAGGTGTAAGGCCCCACAGGGAGGTGTGAATTGGGTTTCTCTACATCAGACTGGCATAATGCACACTGGTTTGGAATGGAGGGCTAACAGGGCCCTTTTGAGGTTGGATGTGCCCAGCTCCAAGCCCCTTGAAAATTTCTTGTTATTCCAGCACTGAGCTGTTGATGCTGAGGCAGCTGAAATAAGGATTGCCTTGGAGGAAACCCAGAGGTGCTCAGGTGTGGGAATGTCCAGCATAGCACCCAGCCACAGCAGAGACCTTGGTTGGGGGAAGTGAAATCTAATGCCTCTCTTAAAATAATTTGAACATAGAAGGTCTCATGAAAATAAACATGAGGGTATTTAGTAATTTCACATGGCTTTTGCCTTGCACAAGAAATACTCATGACATATCCTTAATGACTTTTTCTAAATTATTGTGTGCTCTCAACTCTTATTAAATTTTAATGCTGTTTTCTTCCAATATTTTTGCAATCAGCATAAGAACATAATCCAGATTTTTCTAAAATATAAAATAGAAGAGTAATTGTTACCTCTGGGATTTCAATAAAGGAAGGATGATTGTTCTTTTCAGGACCCTTTTGTAACCAAGGATGAGGAGCCAGGCACTTACAGACCTTATGAACTTGGCCAGGAAATGGGAGTGTGGGTGAACAACTCTGATGGCGTGACTCCTGCTGTTGGGCAGGTGAGTTTTTTAATTTTGTGATGCATTTTGTCTAGTGCTGCTTCAAAAAGATAAAGCAGCAGTGTAATAGAAATGGGAAAATAACCAGGATTTACATATGTAACCCCTAGGCCTGGCCTCCTGGATATTCCGTGTTTCCTGACTTCACCAACCCCAGGACAGTGGAATGGTGGACCACGTTGTGTCTGGAGTTTAAGGATGTTCTTGACTACGATGGCATCTGGATTGTATGTCTCATTATATCTGCCCTTCCTTCTATGAAAAAAAAGAAAAAAGATTTTCACATGTCTTACTCTCTTTATTAAAGGATATGAATGAGCCATCCAATTTCATGAGAGGCCAGCTACCTGGATGTGCTGATACTGAAATCAATAACCCTCCTTACACTCCTAGTAAGTATAATAGTATAACGTCTTTACCATTAATTATTTATTACTATTACATTATAATGTTTTTCTATTTTATATAACATTATATTATATTTTATAGTAATAGTAATATTATAATTTCACTGGGTTTTCTTTTTTTAAATTTTTTTTTGTTTCTTTGGTTTTCTTGTTTGTTTTGTTTTAAACCTGGATAGGCTATATTTTAGGGCAGGGGGAATCTATTCTCTCATTTTCCATCTTTCCCTGCCTGTTTTGTATGTTCAGTTACATATTTGTTCAAGACTCCAGTGGCTCAGCTTTCATGGAGTATCAACAACAATCACTTTCCTCTGTCCAAGCTTCTGCTCATAACAGGACTAGAAAAATGACCTTTCCTGCCATCCTCTTAGCAACTGGTCCCCATCAGAAAAAGGGCAAGATACCTATATACTATAATTCAGCTACAGACTTGTGAAGTAACTCCTGCCACTGCTAGTCTCAGAGATGGGCAGTCTCTGCACTATGACAAGGGAGATGGTGCCTTAGTTGAATGTATTTCCTTTCCCTTATGAAAGAAATTATCACAGTGTCACTAGAAATGGGCTAAAAATAAGTTTTTAAATGCCTAAGCCTATGGGAAACTTACAGGAATGGGAAAATCTCTTCCAGTAGCTGAGTTAATGACAGGCTCATTCCTCCCCAGGAAGCCATGAATACCAATGATTATTGCCAGTGGTGTGGCAGTTAATGCAGCCAACATTTCCCCAGGAAAGCCCAGCTGCCTGAGCAATGTTAATATGCAATAGGAAGCTGATACATGAGAGTTGGAGTATTGGCAGTGGAGTATTGGAAATGTCCCCTTTTCCCCTTCATGCTTTTGTACTCTCATGAGAATTCTAAATTTTCTTTATTAAATGGCAATTATTTTTCTTTTTTTAACTTTGAATATAAGAGAAACATAGGCATAAAAAAGCATGACACACTATTAGAAAGAGATTGTAAATTTTTGAAAGCCGAAGCAGAGCTTTTAATGATGATTTTGGTGTTTGCTCTCTTTGTGGGGTAACTACTGCATACTTACCCTGTGGGTCTTGACCAAAGCCCAGGAACTGATGAGAATTTCCACCTTTGCCTTAAATTACCTTCAATTTTTTCAGCCTTCAGAACTGTATAAAAGATGTGAGACATTGGGTAAATTGGCCAAAAGAGCAGAGCTCCCTTTACATCACAAATAGAGGACTGAGGGTGAACCCAGGCAGGGGCTTCTGAGCCATGCAGCTGAGCTTTGTGAAGATTAGCACTGAGGTCTGAAGGGACTCAAGTCTAGAGGCCTACATGACATGTAAGGACACTGAGAGATACTGAAGACAGGTGTGTTTTGAGCCCAGTTTCTCTGACTTGACTCATGTGTATATGCCTCTGCTTCTGCTTGTGACCCACAGTGTTAGAATGATATAATGGGTTTGTTAATGTGTATTGTATAATTTTATACATGGGTTTGTGTTAGAAGGGACCTTCACAACCATGTTGTTCTAGCCCCCCTAGCATGGGCAGGAACACCAGACCAGGTTTCTTGAAACCCCATCCATCCTGGCCTTGAACAATTCCAGCATGGGGCACCCACAGCTTCTCTGGGCAGCCTGTTTCAGTGTTTCACCACCCTCACAGGAAAGACTTTCTTCCTTCTATCTAATATAAACCTACTCTCTTGGAACCATTTCTCCTATCACTCCATGCCCTTTTCAAAAGTCCCTCTCCAGATTTCTTGTAGGTCTCATTTAGGTACGAGAAGGCTGCTTGAAGGTCTTCCCAGAGATTTCCCTGGTATTGATCTTCCTTCTGCAGCCCGGAGCCCTAGGCGTTACATCTCACCATATAGGGAATCTATCTTGAACCAGTGTTTAAGGGCTTTCTTTTCTATTTTACTTTATAGAATAGGTGCCTGTTCTTAGCTGTCCAAGCCCTTGACTTATGTAAGTATGAGAGGTGACCTAAGCTGTTTAGTGCAGTAAGACATTAGGACCTTCTCAGGGTTAGCAGAGTTTTGGGAGCTCACTACTGTCTTAAGTGCAAGTCCCAGTTTCAGAGTCTCAGGCTTTTTGTCAGTGTAGCCTTCAACCTCCTTACCTAAATTTTATAACCATCATTACACGTAACCATGGTTTGATCTTCTGGTTCAAGCCAGATGTCCTTCAAATCAATTTTCTATAAAACACTTTATACTGAAGATTAATATGCAATTGTAAAATAATCAGTATTACTGAGGCAGAATACAAAATACTCTGAATAAGAATGAATCATGAACCTGTGATTCACGTGGTAGCATTTTCTTTCCTATCCAACCTTAAATTTATAGGGCTAATAATCAAGAACCACTGGGACATTAAGTGTGACTTTCCTCAGAAGCTTAGTGTCTTCTTCAAAGACGTATCGGTCAAAGTTACTTGGAAATTGCCTATAAACTAAGTTTTTTCTGATGTAGATCACCGACACTGGAGTCTTTGTGTTCTAAAGATCCAAACACGAGGATTGTAGCTGTAGTGGCACAGCAAGGCTGAGAGGCTAATGGGGTTTCAGGTACAGAGAAATTGTGATAATGAACTGCAACCATACAGGAAGTGTGATTACGCAGGCAGATTGCTTGTTCATGGAGAAATACTTACAAAAGTGCGTGCACCTAATTAAGCATGGAAAAAAAATTTGAGAATTCACTTTCTTTTTATTTTGAGAGAATTATATAATATTTGCAACACCATCTCTAAAAGTAATTATAACGTTGTCTCGGTTTGAAAGACAGGTGTCTGCTAAGGAAGGCAGGAGCCTCCCTTGGAATGGAAAATGTAAACCACTTCCCTCCAAATTATTATAATTTTGAAATAAAGGGATTTCAGGCAAAGATGTGAGAACAGGAATAGCAGTTCTTTGCTAGTATGCCCAGCAAGGCACACAAACAACAACACCAACTCCGGCACTGGCACCGAGCGGAGCCAGAGCCCAGCCCCGGCCTTTGAGCCGCGGCGCTTTCCCTGCGGTGCAGTTCCGGGCACGGCCAGCAGGGGCGCTGCTGACTCCCGGCGGGCGGGGCAGGTGCGGCGCTGCCCCCGCGGCTGCAGGGGGCGCTGCGGGCGGGTCGGGCAGCGCGGCAATGGCGGCTTTGTCCGGGACGGAGGGGATGGAGGAGAGGCTTCGCTTCACAAACCCTGGGACAGCCGATCCTTCACAAACCCTGGGGCAGCCGATCCGGTGCCCCAGCAGGGCAGGGAGAGGCGGGTTCAGGATCCCGGGCGCCAGAGCAGACAGGGGTAGGTCCCTCTTTTAGTGAGGTGGGTGTTCAGAAGGTCCCAGTTCAGTGGCTGCTCTCACAAGCAGAGGCTCACCCCGCAGCAGAAGCAGCAGCTCCGGGCTGGGCTCTGGCGGCAGCAGCGAATTCCCTTCCCCAAGCAGCAGCTCCGACCTCCGAAATGGAGAGAGAGAGCGTGAGCTGGCAGCTGCCCCAGCACCGTCCTTTACCTGCCCAGTCCCTGTGGTATCTCCTCGTTGGAGACAAACTCCCAGATAAGAGAAGTGCAGCCAGATGCCCTCCTCCTCTGAGCTTGGCCACTTCTTTTGTTTTTTTAGGTGCCCAATCATTAGTGTTTCTTAGCAACTTAAGGGGAAAAACTTGCCTATGTAAAAAGGAACAAAAGGAAAGAAACCTAACCCCCAATAAATGTATAAACCTCTGAGCTGCCCGATTCCTGCTGAACTTCATGTGGCATTTTCATGGTGGTTACCTGAAGAGGAGAGAAATTTTTTTGCATGAAATGGGCTTTTCCAGCATCCCTTTGATAGGGGATTAAAGACCAGTCAGCATCTGTGCAATATTTTTGCTGTTAATTAGAATTTGTCATTGTGTAAAATAATATATTCTTAATTCAGCAAAGCAGATATTTTCTATTATTTACTGAATACATGACACCTGTACAGATATTTAGAATTATTGGACATAGAACTTGAAATAAATTATCAGTGTTTACTCAGTCCTCTCCCTTCTCCAAGGACATGTGCCTGTCTGCAAGTGTTTGTGACTATGTGCTAAACTCAAATAAGTGCTTCCAGCACTTCAGCTTTTCCTCTTCCCACATATTTTGTTGTTTTCACCCTAAATGTGTAGAAATGTGAAGACACTTGAATTGTGATGTATATGATTTTACAGTGGTTTGTATCATTCTCAGGCATCACTGATCGTTCTCTGGCGGAAAAGACACTGTGTCCTGACTCCAAGACTTACCTTGGAGACCACTACAACACACACTCTCTCTTTGGCTGGTCCCAGACAGAACCAACTTTCAAGTAAGTTTCTAAATGCTTCTAATCAGATTCCAGGTGATTAAAATGCATTTTAAAGCCACTGATGTTACCTGGAAAATCTGTAATACTATTTAATAAGAAGCCAGACCCATGTCTTGATTTATTTGCCATTTAGTAGGACGTTTCAAGAAAAATGAACCTTAGAACAAGGAACAGAATCCTTTCTAATTTTACCTTTCTCGGCTAAATCAAGATGTATGTGTAGGGCCTAACTTTACAGCTGCTGCTTTTGTATATCTAAAGCAAGAGACTCTTGTGCTCTGTTAGAGCTTCTCATGAGCATTTGCAGCAGAAGGAGCCTTGTGTGTGTCAGGGGTGTTTATCTGTCCCTTCACTACTGTGGCAGAGGAGTTTTTGTCACTGTCAGTGGAGAGCCCAGACTGTCCCCTGGCTGCTTCTGGAGCTGCCTCTGGTTCCTGGCAGGCAGTGTTTTGTAAATTGGCTTGGGGCTCAGTTGGTTCAGGAGGTCAGAGCTGCATTGCAGCAGAGTTGCTGTCAGCTACTGTAAAACTCATTTTGCAGCTGGGAAGCACTCACAACCAGTTTACACAGGCAGCCTGTTGCTGTGGAAAGCTAGCTGTTGTATTAAATGAGATGGGCAGATCATGCCTTTTCTGGCAGGGATTGAGCTAAAACACTAGGAAATTTCATACCATAATGGAAGAGCCAAAGCAGAGGTCCATGTGTGGCCTGTTTCAGCATTTAGCACTCATTTTCAGAAGCTGGATTCTAATAGCATCCAGGGGACATGGTTAAGTGAACCTAATTCTGGTGTTGATGCATTTGTATTTTATATGCTAGGTCCAGGGCATGGGAAGCCCTGGGAAAAACCAGAAGTAGTTTGCCAGCTCTTATGGGCCTGGCTAAAGCACAGTTCTGCTTTTGAAAGAAAGAACAGGAAACCCTTGAACCCTGAACTTCTTACTATGGTTTTTGGGTTTCTATTCCCCAGTCTTCAAAGAGATCCTCCCAACAAACTTACTGTGCTCAGCCAAATGTGGAGAGGACCACTAAAAGTATATGCAGAGGTTGATTTTGCTGCAAATCTGGGAAACTTTGGTGACATATTTTTTGTACATAGTCATTTTGGTTTGTCAAATAGATTTCTTTTCAAGGCTGGTTGTATATCCTTTCTGCAGTCACTCTTCACAAAGAATATATTAAATGATATTACTGACAGGAATATTTAGCAACCAGCATCAATTGCAGGATATTGGATGAAAATTAATGACAATTTCATAATCATATAAAAAAAAACCAATCCTAAGAATTATTCTAAGGCAGGCAGAGAATAGGAAATGTGTCATCTGCCCTATGTCAAATGGTTTGAATTTGAATACATAAACTAGCAGCAATCAGTTTGGGCATCGCTTAATGCCAAGAGTTACTTGCACATGATATTCTGTAAATAATTTAAATGAACAAATGCATTTGACAACATTAGGACCTGTTCCCTAATGGTTCATGAAAGACTGAAATTATTAGATAAATTACTTGTTACAAATTGTTTTTGCAGCTCTGGATCATAGTTAAGTTTACCTGATACTGCCCTCATTAGCACCTGTATTTGCAAATGGAGCCAGAGACAGCCAGAGGAGAGCACTCCTGCTCGAGACATCCATGAAAAGCTCCAAAATAACATTTCTACAAAGGGCATGGAGCCTTGTGCAGTTATTGGCCCAGCAGTGCACCTGCAAACCAGAACCAGCAGGTCCCTCACAGTTCAAGAACTGCACCTCTTGCTGCATATGGCCCCTAAGTTAATACATTCAGTCTTCCATGAAAGCTGTTGGGTTTTTTGCTTCAGAAGCAAGTGTGGAAGCACTTTAAAATCTCTGTGCCATTACAGACCCAAGAGCAAACAGTGGGTCATTATAAATACAGGTGAAAGAATTCTTGATGAAGTCTCATTAAGAAAAGGGAGAAAGAAGTACATAGTGAACAACATGATTAATATTTCATGCTAGAATTTCCCAGAGAATCTAAATTGTGTTGCACAAATCATATTAAAGAAGAGTTTAATTTGATTTCCTGTAATATAAAATACTGCGATTTACAGTTATGTACAAAGAATATCCTATTCTGAGGATTTTGTGACGGATTTGTAAGTAAAGCACATTCCCTTGATTTTCTGGTGATACAGCAAAATTATTTTCAAAAAGCAAATACAAATTCATTGTGCCCCTAATTCTGCAATGAAACCTCATATATCAAAAAAGATAGAAAACCATAAAAAATACTACAAGGATGGGGTGGCATTTTGAGTGCTTACAGGTTTGTTTTGTATATTATTTATTTTTTATAAGATGTTTAGATATACTTTTAGTATTTTTGTGTGGTTTTGGTTTTTTGGTTTTGATTTTTAATCCTGGTATTGGGACTTTATTTACCAATACAAATCTCTAAATAAATCCTGTGTTGAAAAAAAAAACCACCTTATTATATTCTTTTTAGGAACTCATTGGACACTTAGTTAAATATACTAGTATAGAAAGGAAATTATGATTTGAATTTTCAGTTCTAGACACTGCTGAGAATAAATTAAACACAAATTATTCTTTAGGAAGATTAAAAATACCTGAGACAATTTGTTTAGTGAATCAGATAGATTTTTTGGTTTTTTATTTTGTTTTGGCCACTGTGGAAATCTTCCTTTTATTTGCAGTTTTGCGGTGACATTTTCATGTGAGTAGGGATCACAATAACAATTGTTTAATGAATAATACCCTTTCAGATAAAATTGTGCCTGAATGCTCAGGATGATTTTAAGCTGTTTTGGTTACCTTTCTTGTTTTTGATGATCTTGTTGCATTTCTTTGCAGTGTTGTCCAGCAGGCTACTGGCAAGCGGGCATTTGTCTTGGCTCGGTCCACGTTTGTTGGCAGTGGGAAGCACGGTGGTCACTGGCTTGGTGACAACTTCTCCCTGTGGAAGGACCTGCACCACTCAATCATTGGAATCCTGGAATTCAACCTCTTTGGCATTCCCTATGTAAGTCTGGTGTCCTCTAGGCAGGTGCTGGCTTATACACAATATCACTTCAAATTAACTCAAATGTTTTCTGAAACAAGTGGCTTGAGATGGCCAGCAGTAACAGCCTCCACAGCCTAAGGAACTGCAGATTAAAAGGCTAAATGTCAGTCTTGGCTGCTGAAGGGAAACAAAAACAGCACTGCAAGATTTGGACTGACTGAATGTATGTCATCCGAAACTGATCTCTTTGTATTATGTACTCTATGATTAGGGCTCCTTCATATATTTCTGGGTTTGCAAGTTGGGATGGAGAATTTGTAGAATTATTGAAATACAGTCAGATCTTCCACCGTGAACTTAGTGCTCTAGGAGACAGTACAACCTCAGTCACAGAAAAATTTGTATAATTATGGAACATTGTTATAAAGTAATTAGAAACAGGGATTTCTTTCCAAAAAATATTTTCATTTCTGCAGATTTCTGTAGTCTCTCATTTTTGGGCCTCAGTCACAATCACAAACTTAATTTTATTTTTTCTTAGGTTGGTGCTGATATCTGTGGGTTTAACTACAACACTACCTACGAACTCTGCCTGCGTTGGATGCAGCTTGGCTCTTTCTATCCATTTTCCAGAAATCACAATTCAATTGAAAACATAGTAAGTAAACAAAGTTACATAAAGCTATAGCCTAGGATTACAGTTTTGTGGACAGTGATTTGTATTGCTTTCTCCAAAATCAACCTGCCATTCTTGGGTAAACTGGAGCAGTAGGTGAAAATGAGTGCTGCACTGAGAGCAGGAATTACACGTTGAAATGTACATTTTTCCTATCCGTAATGTAAACATAACATAGAAATGCTGGTCTTCTCACACTGTTGGTAAAATTCATCTATTTCATCTTTTACCTACTGAAGTCCAGGTTTTATTAAGAGCCAGTGAGTGTCAGAGTATCTTCTTACTCCCTTGATTACTACAACTTTTGTTTCAATGCTTCTGTAATTATAGTAAGTATTGCAGGGAGGGGAGAGAGATCATTATACACCATCCTTGCTGTTTAAAAGCAAGTTTCAAACATGTGAGAATTCCAAGGAGAGGCACTAATAGTGACATCATTATCAGCCAAGAGGCAACCAAGACCAGAAAAGGCTAATGAGCCTATAGATGAATGAAAAAGTGCAGCCTCAGTCCAGATCCATGCTCTGCTTTCAACACCAGAAAAGTCTTTTAAAGACTTGTTGCAAACAGAAAGAAGTATCAGGTCATTTCTAGCTATGAAGTTTGAAGGTCTTGCAGCCTTTGTAATTATTCTGTGTTTATCTGCAACTGTGATGAAATGATTCTGCTTGTTCAAGAAATGTTTGGGTTTTTTTTTTTCCTTCTGTAAACTGATCTGTGCAATGCTGGAGCTCAGGTTATTTGCTGACCTTCAGCTTCTTTGAAGTTGCATCATCAAAATGCTGCAACATTTACATTTCCAGGGAGACCTTTTTCTCTGCATGAAAGTATTATGGATGTTCAGCAACTGGACATATGCAGGAATAATAAACCATAGTACTATCATTAAGAGGGTCAGGAATTAGCCTGTAGATCCCTGAGATATTTCTTTGTAGGAGAAGAAATGTCTGTGAGGTATTAGCTGTGGATGTTGAGAAACATTTTCCATTTGCCTCCCCTCTAAAGTTAGAGGTGTACATATATATATATTCATATGGTTGTTTGGCCCTTTGAGCATGCAAACAGTGTCTGACCTGGGTGAGTGGATATCAATCTCATATGTACGATTTAATAAACAAGAAGAGAGCAATAGGCCTATATGATGGGTGCTGCAGCTGAGAGATATATTTGGTTTTATTGGATTACTTAAATCCATTTAAAATATGTGTTCATGGAAAGAAATGAACAGACATTTTGAGTGACTCAGCATCACCTAAGAAATCTGAGTGTTTTTTTGTGAAATTAAGCAGTGTTTTTACAGTGTCAGAACACTAGTAACAACATACTGCAATTTTTGAAACAATAGATGGATGCTCTGGAGCTCAGAGCCAGCAGGGAGTATTCTTGGTGAGTAATTTTGATATAAATATAATAATGGTGAAATTTTACTTAAATATTGAATTTAATTAACATTAGGTGAGTGTTAGGATCTTAAATACCCACTTTGCCTAATTCATTGAGTATTTCAAACAGTTCAATTAATATTTTTCTTGTCTGAAAAGCCCTAGATAATATAAAAAGCTTTGTTACTTTTGTTGCTTTTGCATTTCATTATCCTTGGAATTCATCATATAGTCTTCAGCTTTAATGAGAAAATTGAGTACTCTGGAAAGATTTCCTGAAGGAGAAAGGGAGCCATGTGATTAGTAAGCTGGCTGTTTAGCACTGGAGAGGTTGACAGGAGGAATTAAAGGAGATGTAACTCTTTTCCATATCGGCACTGCCCTTAGTTGCATGCTCTGCCTGCCATCCCAGGGGAGGGTCAAGGTTGTGTTGGAGTGGGACCAACCCAGACAATGAGTACAGACAGGCTGCCCCAACCTGCCCCAACCTGTCCCCTTGATGGTGGCACCCAGTGCATGTCGTGTCTCACAGGAGAGCATTGCTGGCAGTGAGGAGCTGAGGGGCACTGCTGATGTGTGGGTGTACTGTCAGTCATCAGGGCATCCTAAAATGGAGCACACAGGAGGAGAAATCAAGTGTCTTGAATGGATGAAATGTTCTCTGTACCACACACAGTGACTTTGGTCACCCCTGTTGGCTTCAGCAGGGTTATGAGTTTACTCTTTTACCTAGACTTGCCTCTATATTTGTGGCCAATGTAATTATGCTTTTGACTTTGATCTGCAGATTATCAGTCTTCCCTTTTTCCTGTATTTCATCTCCTTTGTCTGAGAGGGCTTGCATCTCTAGGATAAATTAATTTCTATATGCAGGGTATCTGTTCCTGAGCACAGGCTTGGAGCCCCAGCTTCCGTCTCCTCACAAGGTTAGGGGTGGCTGCAGAGGACTCACATACATTGGGGTGGGACCTGATCTTTTTGAACTCACTGGAGTTTTTCAAGTTAAGAATTTTATACAAATGTTAGTTTGGGAATAATGGATGATGCTCTTAACGTACCTTGCAGTTTGCAAATGAGTGCTTTCTCTTATTTAAACACTCACTTCCGTAGAATCATGCCAGCCACAGCTCTCCTTGTGTTGCACACAGCTTCTCTGCTGAGTTTGTTTCAATGCTCAGTACAAATCACAGCTTTTCTTGAACAGGAACAAGACCCAGCTGTGTTTGGAGATACTTTTGCCGAGATATCTCGTGATACTCTTCGGATCAGATACTCTCTGCTGCCATACTTATACACCCTGTTCTACGAGTCTCATGTGTACGGAGGCACAGTGGTGCGGTCACTGATGCACGAGTGAGTTGGGAGTTCCTTTTTCATTCTAATTTGCTCACAAAATAGTTGAGCTCTTATGTATGTACTGGTTGATATCCTTAGGCGAATAGTCAGAGTATTACTATCGCATGCTGTCTTTTAAAAGAATAGTTGAACAGTTAAATCAATCAAGTTATATGCACAAAGATAAGTCTTAATATATGCAATTAATTCCATTAATATAGAACCTGTATTTCTTTCCAGTGTGGGGAAAAAGGCAAACTTAAGAAAGAGGAATCCTGAAAATTTTTAGTCTTAGGCAAATATAGAGTTCTCTTCTATTTCAAAAATGAGAGTCCCATTACCTGTATTTTCTGTATTTGAATGAAATCAATGAAATCTGTATTCTGATCCAGAATGCCAAAAGGCCTCATACAGAGAGTCCAATGATCCATAGCATTTGGTTTTTTCCAATTTAGCACTTGGATCTGCATGCTATTTACAAAACCCACATCTGTGTCCACAAAGTGCACAGAGAAAACAGAAATAGAGATGTTTGAGTGTAGAAGCAGGTGCAAAACTGAGATTAATAAATGGAGACTGAAAAGCCCCTTTGAAAATTAAGCTCAGACTTTTGGAACAACTTGTTTTTTCTTTTCTGGAAGAAGCAGGAATCCAGCTGAGGCTTAGTTTCCCTGTCCTAATCTTTCAATTAGACTTTACCTGCTTTTGGTAAATTTTCTACTTTGGAATGCTTTATGTGAAGACTAGAGCAAAAGGAGTGCAAACAATACTTATGAAAGCCTGAAGCTCTGCCACACTATCATTTCATTGGTGCAGGCTATGTCATAAACTGTTTAATGTTTTGGGTTTTTTTTCCCTTTAGCTTAAAAGCATTCTCGTTAAAGGCATTTTTTGAAAATTAAACTGAGGTTACATTAACATAGACCATTCAAGTATGGAAAGGATATGCACAAAATCAGTTTTGCTTACTTGGCATAATGGCTAACTGATAAATTTTAAAAGCAGTATCCTTCCTCTTTCTACTTGGCAATGTCATTTTACTAGATAAAATTAGGGAGAATTTTATGGGTATTCATAACTTAAAATTAGCTATATGCTATTGCAAGTATTTACATTAGGTCTGTTTTTGCTGAATGTGGTTTGTGTTAATATTGGAAATACCCAAGTTAATTTTGGCATTAATATTAGCTAATCTCTGCTAATACAGAATTGCTCTAGTGTCATTAAAGCTGCCTTTCTGATCACTGCCAGCATACCTGTACTCTATGTGGGCCACTTCCACATTGGCAAATTTCCAAATTTGTTTTGATTAGAGTTGCAGAGCAGTTTCAGATGCACCAGCAGAGGCTTTTGTGAGATGAAACTGAGCTGAGAGGTTCACTACAGACACTGATGGGAGCTTAGTCAGCAGGACCAGAGTGGGATTACTAGGAAATAAAACCTCTCAAATGCACAGAAGTAGGGTAGGCATCAGGAGATCAAAACAAACTGTTTCCCTCCCCAGTGCTCCTACTGGCATCCTAGTCCTATGGCTTCTTAATGTTGCCATAGCGAGATCCTAAAATGGGTTAAAAGTGTTTCTTATTACTACTAGTTAATTTTGGTTACTATTATTCACTGCCATTACTTAATGTGTATTTCTTACTATTTCTAGGTAAAATTAAGCAGTTTAGTAGTGGGTCTACCCTAGTGGAGAAAGTGACCCAGGTGCTAACAGGAGAAGAAACGTGGGGTTTTGAGAAAGAGAATTGAAATAGAATTTTCAGTGTATGGATGATGGAAGTTTATATCAACATTGCTTCTTACTTGTTAAAATTACAAAAGAAAACTAAAAAACTCCTGCATTAGGTTTCAGCTGAAGTTCTTACGAGTTCAGAGTCCTCACCATGAAAACAGCTGTACCTAGGCAGGGAGCCTCCAAGCAATAGCTATTTCACGTGGACATTTCATTCCATTTGGAACATTTAGGGGCTCGTTTCAAGTAACAAACAAGAACAACATCCCAGTAGATTCTTTTAAGTGTATTTGGTGCCTCGGAGGCTTTTGCTCCATAAAGCAGAGGCATCAATATCTCAGGTGTCCAAAAAGACTGTGAGGTGGTAATCCATTAGTGGAAAGGAAAGATGTGTTTAATGGCTAACCAGGGTGGAAATATGACAGGAAAGAGGCCAGCATCTAACCAGAGGAAGCAGTAGATGGAATTAAAGACCTTTCATAGATGACAGCATGCTTTAATGGCTATATTTTCGAAATAGGAAAGTTCATTCGTTTGCTGAATTTGTGCTAGTGGTTGCTATAATTGCAAGAGAAAATTGTGCTGAGTTAAAGAGTGAGAATCTTGTTTCCATATACAAATACAATTGATTCTTCTTTATTCATAATTTCTTGATCAGCTTTTTTGTCCTGCAATCTCCCATTAAAAAGTGTATTTTATTATTATTACAATTTTATTACAGTCAAGTTGAAAACACAGAGACCCTATTGCGATGACAAGAAAAACTCATGCTTGATATTTCAAAAACTTTAGGATAAGGTAATTCATCAAAACCCGTAATCTACTTTAAACATTTGAAAGTATTATGTCCCAATGCAAATAATGACCAAAATCAAGGTGTCCAAAAGAGCTACTGTTCTGGACAGAAAAAGAAACTCTGAACAAATTGAGGTTTCTTTCAAACAGAGCCCTCAATAGGTGTCTTTTTATTGCCAAGTTGTCTTTACTTATTTGGGGAAATTTCTGTAAGCCTGGCCTGGGTGCAGTGTGTGCCTTTGCCCCGAGCAGGCAGGGTGTCAGAGCAGGGCACTGACACTGAGCCACTCTGCTCCAGCCAGCGTTCAACAGAGACCTGCCTTTAGACAGGGGCAGCTGCAAAGCCCATGGAACAGACACAGTAAAGGGATTTCTAAACAAGGAGTTTATATGTTCTTAGAGAATAATATGTAAATATGCAATAACCAGTGTGAACTTGTCAAAAATATGTGAAAAGCAGACCAGTTACTATCTCTGAAAAGGCAGCAGGGCTGTTGGAGGGGCAGAGGGGCAGAGAAGTAGCAGAAGTGAGGAGGTACAAGGTACTTTGATTGTAGGAGGATTTGAGACATGGATTTTTTCTTCATGTGATGTTCTTATAAGAGCTAGGATCTATCAATTATTTCCTCAGAAAGAGACTTACAGATGATAAAACCTATTTAAATTCTCCAGGATTTTATGCTGGAGGAAAGGAGATTCCTGAGTTGGGAAGGATCTCTCTCCTTTGCCAGGTGCTATTCAATATTTTCATTAGCTGATGCACGGTGGAATAGTGATTTCTTCCCAAGAGAAGGCAAGTGATGCCATGCAAAAGGGACTGTGAGCATTCTGGAGAACATGATCAGAATCCAAAACAATTTTAGTGCATTGAATAAAATGGACGGACTTCCATAGGTTTTCATCCATTCAGGAGAGGCAGCTAAAGCGTACAATAATGCATGAGTGTTGCTCTGTGTTTGTCTTGCAAACAATTTCAAGTGTAAATCTGTGAAAGCTGTGGGAGGCCAAATCCAAGGATTTTCACAAATGCTTTAGATCCTAGAGCACAGTGTTTTTCCTCCATGTTCCCTCTCCTGGATCTGGCCCCTGTCCTGCTCATTGGCTCCCAAAACGAAGTCTCAGCCCACTGAACAGAAGTGAGTTGTTGCTGTTCTGAAAAGAAATTGGCTTCATCATTTTGTGAGAGTTCTGGTCTGCTCTGGGATGGTAGGTACTACTGAAATATCTGAATCTCTGCACAGCTTTTGGCACTCCCTCAATCACGAAAATATTTGGCTGTGTTGAAGAATACTGTGAGGAAGCAGATTTCTTGTCCCAGTGAGTAATATCAAAATATTTGTCAAATTCTAATAACTGTGAATTAACATTGTGTATTTAACTTTCAAACTAGATTTACCTCTGATCAGGAGACTCATGGAATAGATACTGCCTTCCTTTGGGGACCGGCCTTTATGATTGCTCCAGTTCTTGAAGAGGCAAGTACTGTAATTAAAAATGCCATCATTCTGGAATAGAAGAAACGAATGGTGCTTAGGGCATTGGATGACACTCAGAGCATGTTTGCTCATATCCATCCCTTTCTACTCTCCGCTGTCAAAGCTTGCAGAACACATTTCTGAGCAGCACAGACAGTACAGAGCTTTCTCAGTACTTGAAGTGGGAGGATGAAAGTGAGGGCACAGCCTTTCCCTTTTACTCCAAGTGAGGAATGGATGCAAAGAGGCTGGATGCTGCCCCTCACGTGCTCCTGTTATTGTGCTGGCAGCAGTCTCCAAGGACACACACAGAGCAGTAATTGTCGAGCTAGGAAGAAACACACAGACATGAAAGCAAACTGGTTTCCATATTACCGCTCACCCACAGTGTTTTGGAACTGCAGCTCTCAAGGGCTGTGGTAGGAGTTTCCCAGCATCACAGGCAAAGGCAGTCATTACGGAAACGATAATGATAATGTAAGCTGCTAACAGGACAGGTTTTAAAAAGCAGCCTTTTCCTCTGCTGTTCTGGGCACATGGCTCTCTCTGCTTGGCTGGAGCAAGGGTATGTTTCTCTCCTTGCCCACCACTGACTACTGGCAGCACAAGAGAGGCATGGCTGAGCAGATCTAAGTATTTGCATGGGATGTATCCTAGTGCTGTTTGCAATCAGCATGCTGTCAAAATATCTCATATATTTCTAGATGTTGCTGATGATCAAACATTTAAACAGGATACTGTTACCTTGTTTTTTAATGAACCCTTTTGTCTCTTTGAATTTAATAGAAATTAAATTCTAAAACTCCACTGAGGCGCTTCATTCATCAGTCCTTTATCTTCAGACTCCCACAAGTTTCTAATAGCTGAAGAGCAGAAAGAAGATTTCACAGGGTCTCAGACCAGTAGGATGATAAAGAATGAGAAAAAAAAAACTTCCCATGAAGAGGGACAGATGAGCCAGGGGAGGCTTCCTGCTAATAATTGAATAACAGGAAACATTATAAGGATATTTTAAATGATCGGGGGTCTAGATAAGGAGTTCCTGATGTTTTTTGGAGAACTGCAGCACAATAGGAAGGCTGCCTGTGGCGTGATGAGGGAAGCAGAACTGTGAAGGCAGCACATTGCTGGGTGTTGCAGTGTGATAGCTGGCAGCCAGGGCTGTGCCAGTTGGTGGGGCAGCGGCAGAGGTGAGCTGTAAGCCCCTCACTGTGGCAGTGCAGGCCAGCAGTGACTGTGTCAAACTGCAGCTTGGCATCTGCTTGTGTAGGGAAGATGAGTCAGGGGTGACTTGACCTTCACTCCTTGAGTTCTAGGGATGACAGCAAGTGAGACATCAAAAAAAAATAAATAGAATGGAGAACTGCCTTGTGGACTGGCTTGTTATTTAGGGAGTCATGAAGGTGAGGCTCACAGAATCATGGAGTCATAGAATAGTTTGGGTTGGAAGGCACCTTAAAGATCATTAAGTTCCAACCCTCCTGCCATGGGCAGGGACACCTCCCACTAGGCCAAGTTGCTCAAAGCCCCATCCAACCTGGCCCTGAAATCATCCTGACCCAGATGATGGTTACACACTTTTCTGTAGACCAGATCATCAAGGGTTGTCATAATATTGCAGAGAAGAGATGGAGAGGGGAGCATCTTGCCTTTTTGGTTTCTCATATATCTAAAATCCCTAGGATGTCAAATGGTAACTTTGCCTTAACTCTTCTCTTCCACCTTTACTTTTCTTGTTCCACAATATTCCTGGGATAGTCCTTGGAGCTAATCCATAATTCTGCAAAGGGACAGATATCTACACTGATAGTAAAAGTTAATCTGCTTTTGAGAATAAGCAACTTGTAACAAAAATGGAAATATGTTTTGATCCCAACTGTTCCTGGAGTTATTAATACAAAGTGCCTTTAGCGTGATTTCATCCCTGCAGTGATCTGACACAACACATGCTGCAAAATGAACTACAGTAATCGTGCAATTAGCAAAACATTTATTATTTATTATTACTTATCTGCAACTTTAAATTGTTTACAAGAAGAGAAGGATCTGCATCCTTTGTGTGCTACAGCTCATTCTCTGCCTGTTTCTGGGACAGGAATGGTGCAAGGGGCACTGAGCAGTGGTGTCCTCCCACATCCGATGTGAAGCCCTGTCTTGAAGAGGCTGCTCAGATGTTGGAGGAGTGCACATAGGCCAGTTACATTTGGAAGACATAGAGGTGTATACTAGAATAAAATAATCACGTAATGTTGACTCATCCCAGGCTATGTCAGTAAACCCCCCAAAATAGGATAGGCTTGTCTGTTTAGTATTATAGATTAGCCAGCACCAGTCCACTGCTATGACAATAACTCAGCCATAATATAAAAAATTTGATGTTATTAGAATATTCAGCATACATCTCTCCATGCACAAATATAATAAAGCTAATGTAATATCAGAAATACAAGAAGAAAAAAGACTAATCTCTTTATAACAATTACAGGGAGCAAGATCTGTGAGTGTATACTTCCCTGAAGCACAGTGGTTCGACTACTATACCGTATGTATTTTTAAGATGAATTTTCTTATTTTTTCTTTCCCTAATAATTTAAAATGGTACAATTCCAGCAAAATAACTTTTAGCAATCTTCAGCAGTATTTTTACCTCAGCATCTGTAGATGAAGAAAACTAGAGAAGAAAAAGTCTGCATCAGGCTAGCTGGGAGGGTAAATGACACAGCTTTCAGAAACATTTTGTTTTCTATTTTTGCCATGTAAGGCTCTAAGACGCAGTGAACAGAATTTTCAAGAGCAGCCTAGACATGCATGAAAATGCCAGGATTTCTTTCTTTGTCCCCCGCTTTTAATTCTTGTTCTGATACACTTCCATGCACAGAGACAGAGGCAGGAACCTAAGCCACACTCCTCAGAACATGCCACAAACACTTCTGTGCATGTACTTTTGCATGTGCATCCCTTTAGACAGAAGGCATATTTGGAGCACAAGGTGAGACACCCCTCTGGAAGATGCTCCCAAGAGCTGCAGACCAATCTGCTCTGTGGGACATGCCAGTACCTTCTCTTCAGGGCCTGTGTTGACCTTTCCAACACCATCCCCAGGACCACATTTCCAGAAGTGCTCTGCTGCAAACTGCAGCCTAAGCCCAGCTTGGCTTCAACGGGAGCAGTTAAGCTGATGCTAAGAGCTTTCGGAAAGCTTTCAGAAAGAGCCCAGGATCATCAGGTTGTTGTTAAGTCTCCTGAGTGTCCCTGGCAGAGGAGCAGGCAGAGCAGAACTGCTCTCAGAGAAAATGCAGACTTCTTTTTAAATAAGTTTTGTCATTTTCAGCATTTGGCTGGTGACCTCAGATGGATGTTCATCCAACCTTTTCCTTTTTCACTTTTCATGAGACTGTGATGCTGAAAAGTCCAGCATTTAATTCAACCCTCCTCATGGTTCCCTCTGAGCCCCCTTGCTGGGCTGGGCACAGGACAGTGGCCTTTGTCCCTTGCCCTGCCTATCTGCCTGCCCCTGGCTTTGCTCGCCTCCCAGTATTTGGCACTTACTTGTCATGCACATGGTGCTTATCCAAACCAAAGTTGGGTACTTGCCATAAATCATAATTATCATTTACAGAGGGCAAGAGCAAAGTCTTCCTGTTATTTTCTCTGTACATAAGTCTTTTTTTGAGGTTTTGAGGCATTAAACTAGAAAAGTATGATGCAGAGAACTTAATGCTGGTTGTCTACACACATACAAATTTCACTCTCTGAATGCTGTAATTACTTTCTGAAAGGGGAAGAATTGTTCTTAGAAGAGAAGAAAATCTACAGTTTACATTCCCAAATGACTATGAATCACTTACCTTAAACTGAATGTGACAGGCTCCGTATGTATAAAAAGAGGAAGCAAAAGTTCCTTTTTCTTTTTGCTCAGTAACTTGATGAGTGGGGTTTTTTTCACAGCATATGGAATAATGATACCATTTTTAAAGGCCATTTGTTGTCTTTCAGTCATGATGCTTCTATCTCAGGCATATGATATCTCAGGCATATGCATAACTGCAGAGTGTAGATCCTCTTTCATGTTAAAAAGGAAACTAGAATAATACTCCTGAAATCCATATTTTAGTTTGTTTTTTACACTGATGTAACTGAAATGAAAATTTACCCCTTGCTCTCTTTTTCAGTATGATGTATACTGCCTGGATTGGCATTTTTTTAACTGCATTACTTTTTGTGGTAGGGTTTAGAAGTGCCAAGTGCCTGGAAGAAGACCTACACTACTGTGTCTGCCCCACTGAACAAGATCCCTCTGTACATCCGTGGAGGGTACATTCTGCCACAGCAGGCACCAGCCACAACCACTACTGAGAGGTAACGTCACCTGTGTTTGTCACCAAGCAGACCCACAGACAGGGTGTGGGTCAGACCCACAGACAGTCAAAAGAGGAATCAAAAGAAAGTACAGAAGAGAGATATCTGCAGCTCCCAGCTGCCATCCCAAGTGATAAGTGCAGTATTTTTATACCAGTATTTGCTCCATTTCATTAGGAGAAATCACCTCAGAGATGATCCACATCACTGTTAGCACAGCTGACGCCTACTCCTGGCTCTACGATTAATGCTCAGAAAAGCTTTTGCACCTCTTACTGCCACACTGACCTGCTGTCAATCATTCAGAGTAAATGTATGCAAGGGGAAAAGCAAAATTCCTCTTGGGTGAATTTATCAAATGCTGTAAACAAGGTGGAAAAGCTCAAATCTTTCTTCAGGAAAAATACTTCCCCATGCCAATGAATGATATTCTGGTCCCAAGTGTGAACCATGCTCAGTAGCTAATCTGAGTAGGAAAGAGAGGAGACAGCACTGTGCAGCAGCCATAGTAAGGTAGTACTGATTACCAGCTGACTCCCAGACCATCCAGTTATTGTACATTAGGGCCACAAAAGAAGGGGGGAGCTTGTCCACATGAGCACTTGTAGGCTGCCCCGGACCATGTCCCGCAGGATAGCCCACTCCTGGCCACTCGATGGGTGCCCAGATGAAGTAATCTTCCACACCAGGAATAAACGGGAGCGCACTCCGTGTGGAGTTCCAGCTGGGTTTTATTTGAGGGTTAGAATGAGGGTCCACCAGGGTAGGATGTATGTAGGCTGGGAGGGAGGCAGATGAAGCAAGAGGGAGACAAACTGCAGGAGGAGGGGTCCAGGGATGGAGCACAGACTGACAACAGAAGCCGAAGCTGGAGCTGAGAGACCGGAGAGGGGGTGGATACAAAATATATAACCAGGGGAAGGTAGGAAGGGACAGGGTACAATGGGGACGGGGGTAGAAGGAGAAGCTGAGGTGGGGTGACATGCAGCAGACCAACGGTGTAACAGGAGGGGAGTGACTGTAACACAGGAGCCAATGGGGCAGTGGGGAGAACAGAACTTTCTGGGCTGTGGGGGTGAGGACCGGGTGACACACAGATAACTATTAGCATGTGGGAGCAGGTAGCCTCAGGAAATTGACACAGTAACGCACTCTTAAGTTAAATGTAGGAATCCTCCCACCACATCCCAGGTCTGCTACCCACAACAACGACTCCCACAAGCACTCAAAATGTGGGAAATCTAGATGTCAGTAGGACAAGGCAAGGCAAAGATTTTGCCATCACTTTGGGAGTCCTTTTGGTGAGCACTGTTGTCATTCTTCTGTCGTGACCTTTTCTGTAACCTTAAAAGGGGAGTTGTGTTCAGAAGTGTTTGTTAACTTGCTTGGAAGGGACAGTGCCCACAGGTTTGTACTGACACTTCTCAACACGTTTGTCAACAGCCGCCTGAACCCATTTGGACTCATTATTGCCCTGGATGAAGAAGGACAAGCCTCTGGATCTCTCTTCTGGGATGATGGTGATTCCATTGGTAAGCCTGGTCCCCTGGTGTGAAGCATACAGTACCTGCCTTCAGGGCTCTCCTCAGGCCATCTTTCAGCAGCATAATGGCACTGGCTCCTGCTAGAAATAGCTGGAGAACTGGCCCCAGAATGAGCAGTAGAAAGTTGAACCTTAGTCAGCCACGTACTCCCTGGCAGCCAGGAGGGCCACCTGTGTCCTGGGGGCATCAGGCACAGCATTGCCAGCTGGGCTGGGCAGGGATTGTCCTGCTCTGCTCTGCGCTGGAGCGTCCTCATCTGGAGTGCTGGAGGCAGTTTTGGGCACCTCAATGCAGAAAAGGACTATTAGAGAGCATCTAAAGGAGGGCAGCAAAGATGGTGAAGGGCCTTGAGCAGAAGCTGTATGAGGAGCAGCTGAGGTCACTTGGTCTGTTCAGCCTGGAGGAGACTGAGGGGAGACCTCACTGCAGTTACAACTTCCTCATGAGGGGAAGAGGAGGGGCAGACACTGATCTCCTCTCTGTGGTGAGCAGTGACAGGACTTGAGGGATTGGCCTGAAGCTGTGTCAGGGGAGGTTGATGTTGGATATTAGAAAAAGTTTCTTCCCCTAGAGGGTGGCTGGGCACTGGAACAGGCTCCCCAGGGAAGCAGTCACAGCACCAGCCTGACAGAGTTCTAGAAATGTTTGGGTTATGCTTTCAGAAAAATGGTGTGACTCTTGCAGATGGTGCTGTGCAGCGCCAGGAGTTGGACTTGATCATCCTTGAGGGTCCTTTCTAAGGCATCTTACACTGTGATTCTGTGAAGGTGAAAAGCTGATTCTTCTGAGATCAACCTAAGACTTGAGGAAGAGATTAAATAGCCCACAAATCATCTTAGCCTGACCTTAGCCGCTTGCTGCTGTAATGTGAACTGCTTATGGATTTTGCTGCCTGTTTTGATATCAATCCTCCTTGCTTTGTGTTTTGACAGATACTATTGAAAAAGAGAACTACTTCTTGGCTAAATACACATTCAGCAATGTAAGTGGCAACATACAAGATACCTACTTACATGGAGGTAGATGTAATTTAGTGTAACCATTGTAAAGTGCTGATATTTATCTTCTAGCTCAGTCTATGAACCAGGTAAGCTACCTAATGCTGTCACTTACAGCTAGCTACAAAGTAGTCCAACTATGATCCTGCAGTTTTATGTCTGCTTCATTAAGTATCATAGTGACACATGTCATTAATGTCCCTGCTGCAATACAAATCTGAAAAAAACACATTTTCAACTTTTTTTTTCCTTAGCTGCAGCTTGTGGGGACAAGGGGCCTTTCTCTTGTGTTCCACCTAGTAACTTTCAGTCTGATCTGTGGGAGAAAGCTAGAGTCCTCTCTTCAGAATATTCTAGCAACCTTTTAACTTCGATCACTTAATGTTTTTGTTTTGTGGTGCAGAGAGTTATGTAGTCTCAATTCTGTAGCTTGCATTTCCTTGTCTGACAGCACAGACACTGCTCCCATGGTGGGTGTCCTGTGGAGAGATCCAGCATGCTTCTTGCAACCCGCTGGGCTGATCAGAAGCTCTGTGCAGCACAGGAACAGATTAGCTCAGGGTCAGTGCACTGATGCCTTTCACGCAGTGCTCAGTTCTGTGCAGATATGTCCTGAGAAACACCTGTAGAAAAGCCAAACAGTCAAGGCTTCAATTGAGTAAAATACTGTAAAATGTGTCTACTATAAGCTCATTAAGTATATGATAGTAAGTTGTAGGAGTCATTGTAAAAATAACCTTACCCTACTTCAATAACCTGTCTCTACAGATCTTATTTCATCTGCAATTCTAGCATTTGGTTATAAATAGGATATTGTCTATAGACTATGGCATGGTTTGTTCCCCAGCTTCCTGAACATGAGCCAGCATGTGTCCAAGTGGCCAAGAAGGCCAAGGGCATCCTGGCTTGTATCAGAAATATACAGGGCTGGGGCAATGACTGTACCTCTGTCCTTGTCACTGGTGAGGCCACACCTCAGAGCCTGTGTTCAGAGGAGGGCAGTGAAGCTGGTGGAGAATCTGGAGCTCGAGTCATATGAGGAGCAGCTGAGGGAGCTGGGGGTGTTTGGCCTGGAGTAAAGGAGCCTCAGGGGAGACCTTATTGCTATCCACAACTGCATGAAAGGAGAGTGAGCCAGATGGGGGTCAGTCTCTTCTTCCAAGTAATAAGTGATAGGGCCAGAGGCCTCAGGTTACACCAGGGGAGGATTAGATTCGATATTAGGAAAAACTTCTTCACTGAAAGGGTTATCAAGCCCTGGAACAAGCTGCTCAGAGAAGTGGTGAAGTCACCATCCCTGGAGGCATTTAAAAGATGTGTAGATGTGGCCCTTAGGGACATGGTTTACTGGTGGACTTGGCAGTGCTGGGTTAATAGTTGAACTTGATAACTCTAAAGATATTTTCCAACCCAAGTGATTACGTGATTTTTATGCCATGTATTCCTAAAAGTCCCAAAGTAATCCACAGAAGACAGTCAAAATGATCAAATCATGTTAACCCCTATTGTGATATTGCTCTTAGAAGGTCTGTCTTCCAGAAGCAAGAGCAATCCAGGGTAGGCCAGTGGGCTTTACTAGGTAGCCTGGTATGTTTGTGAGATATTTTCCTGGAAATAACACCACATGGGTAGACTTCAAATTTTATATTAACTTACTTTGTTCTTGATTTACCAAGAAAAAAATATTCCTTCTTTTTCAGAAAAAAAAAAAAAAGGTATTTCAACAGCAAAAAGGAAGAAAAATCACTTTGGTTTTCTGTAGTCTGTGTATAGTAATTTATTGCAGTAAGTCTACAGAAAAACAATATTCAGTTTTATATTAAATTTTGAACTGTGCAAATTAGATTATTGCTTCTCTGGCACTTCCATTTCTCATTGCTCATATTTGACTTCTGCCTGTAAATCCATGACTGAATTCCCTATCTGCATTCCAGTAATCTTTAATGTCGAGTTTTTGATATGTGTTTATAAAGAAAATAGTCAACCTTAAATAGCAAAAGGGAAAATGGTGTCTGCTGAAGAGTCCTGTCTTGTGCCTCTGAGCTTGAGAGCTGAGTTCAACATTACACTGTGCCTCCTGGGTCTGTGTGGCCACCTGAGCTGGCTGTCCTGAGACAGCAGTAAAACACCGTAGGGAGGTGCTCTCTCTAAACTGAGCTTCCCTCTGTGCTGGAGCTCTGCCAGAGGGAATAAGACACCACATGTAATAGGTACCCTAAAAACTTCTCTGGTGGCTTTTGCAGGCTTCTCTCCATTTGCTAAATAATAGCCAACATTCCTTATTTAGGCAGTTTAAATCAGTGTGCTGGGGCTTAGAACATATTTTTAGTGTGGATGCCTGAAACATGCAGTCTAAGCACAGCCCTAAGTTACATATAATGTGATCTAGCTCCTGCTCCCCTCCTACAATGCACTACTGAAATAACATAAACTTATTTATGCAAAAGGTTCCATCATGGGTTTCTCCTTGGCATATTTTTAAAAAGTCATGATTGCATAGCCATCCATCATTTCCTGAGCAGTGTAATTCATCTTTATTTCCTCAAAAACTTTGATCACACAACAAATGCAATGATTCCTCTCTTTTGCATGTATGGGAAATTACTGTCTCTGGTGATCCAAACAAATTAGCTTAATGACTTTGCATGTCCTCTTGGTAAACCCCTAAATATGGGATGTGTAGTAAATAAAAAGAACTGCAAGCAAAGCTCTGTGGACATACAGTGTTCCTTTAGTCTCCTTAAAGCTGGGACATATGTAACAGGGATTTCTAGCAGGAGATGTGGTACATAAAATCGGGGCAGAACATCGAGCAGCTGCTGTTTGTGGAAGATACAAGTGTTTTAAAGCAGCTGGTTTTGTATGTTAATTACATCTGTCTTAAGGTCACTAATTGAATCTCTGTATCTGGATTTTGGCTTTGCATATGCCACTGTACTCTGCAATGGGTACAAGAACAAAATTTACATTGATTAAAAATAGAAAAACATATCTTCTTGGACATGCTTTTCTATTCATAATCCGATTAATGCTGTAAATGTGATTTATGTTCTTAGTTTATAATCACACGTGAAACCTTTCTTACATACAAATTAATATGACTGTTGTTTTTTCCTTTATGACTTCAATATCTACATTGGAAGACATAGTGTATGTTCAGTGACAAGGATGAAATCTTGTAAATGCGTAGCAAGTCACCTCTAAAGAGCTGTCATGGTCCTAAAGTTTTCTCTGTGTATTTTTCCAGGGAAGCCTGAAAACAGAAATAGTTAAAAATGGCTACGCTGGAGCTGAAACTCTGAAGTACAACAAGATTACCATTCTTGGCCTGAAACAGAGACCTCAAGCTGTGTCTCTGAATGGAAGATCCATCCATGGAGATGCTGTGTCTTATGAGATCAGTGGGGTAAGACCTGAACTGAGAGTTTAAGAAAAAACTTAGGGAAAGAAGGGTGAAGAACAGTGAAGAGAGGTGAAGCCAGTGAAGGACAGGAACTGTTTCTCAGCCACACTCCTTTACATTCTGAAGTATAACCAGACGCCCATTCTTGATACAACAGTCTGACATTTAGGAGAGGAAAAAAAAAAGGCAAAAGCAAGAGCTTTTTAAGGAAACTTTAATCTTTGCTTATGCATGTGCACTCTCTTTTACTTAATGTCTGCCACTTACACAAATTTTTAAACTACTGAAATACTGGAAAGAAGATATAGGTCCATGAGCTGAGAGCACAGTTAGCAGTTTTATGGGTGTTCTTATCATTCTGATAAAATGAGAAAACTTGTCAAAGTTTTTTATCTGCTGCTGAAAAGAAGTGTTGTGGATTTTTTTTCTCACAATTATTTGGTGTCCAAAAATTATTCTGGTGTCATTGGCCAAATTATACCAAAGAGGTATAATTTTAGCATCTTAAAGTGCCAAGCCTCAGTGTTCCAGAGCAAAATGCATGACTTGCTTGTGCAGTGCTCCTCTGGCACCAGTGTGAGGACATTCCAGAGGCGATGGACTGAAAGCCCCTAATAAACCCTAAGCAGCAGCAGCAGCCTCTGTGGTCCCAATTTTCTTTTGCATAGGAGTATAGACAAAAGGAGCAAAACCTTTTGCTTCCTTTCCTCTGGCCACTTGTTCCATATCTGTCACCACCAAGCTGAAGTGGTCATTCACACTCTGTGTGAGATGTGTACTCACATCTCAGCACTGGTTGCATCTAGGGAACTCCTGGTGTAACACTGCAAAATGTCACTAAATCATCATGCAGTGGAAGATAGCTGAGGCAACAAGTAGGGCATGTCACACCTTATGTTACCCTTCCCACTTGGCTTAGTGACTAAGTTTCATTTGTAACCAAAGAGTGATCCCCATTATACATACCTGGTAGTACCATTTATTTTATTGAAGGAATCTGTAAAGGAAGAAAATTGCTGAGAGTAAATTTCTGCCTTGGAGAATTGTAAAAATCCCACTTTCAGAGGCAATGTCATAAATAAACATAATTTCTGCCACAAGGGAAGAGATTGTTTAACAGCCTCTAAGCAAGCTCAAAGCAACATAAATGTGGCAGGGCAAAGAAAGCATTCCATTGAGGTGTGCTTGAAGGTACCAGGTACAGAAATCCAGAAGATAACTGCAGACTAACAGCATCACGTACAAAGATGATTTTTAAAGACTAATAAGCTTGTCTCAAAAATATAATTTAAAATTTGATTTAAGAGCCGAATATTATCTTGGTGACTTAAGATCTACTTCAAATGCTGGAAGAAAAAACCCACCAAGCTGATGTTGTAGGGATCCAAAACTACAAAAAAGTTAAATTTTCTACACCAGAGAAATACATTCCTCTCAAAATTCTGAGAGATTTAGTCAAAGCTCTCCCACCATCCCTGTGCAGATGTTACAAAGTCACTACCTATATTCCTCTCATGTTTGACCCTCTAATAAAAAATAAATAAAATAAAAAAGAGCAATAGCAGCAGCTTGGGTTTTGATCTTGAAAACGTATTCATGTAATTAAAAAAATAAAATGCAAAGGGCAAATTTGCCACTTTCTTACAGGCTTAGTGAGTTTACATTTTGTATAATAGTTTTATAAGCAGAGACCCTACTGTTTAAAGGGCTGCAGTAGAAAGTAACTTTTACCATATTGGTTTTGGTTTCCAGAAAGCAAATTTACCTAATAGCAGTGCTGAAGTGGTTATTGAGCCATATTTATTTCTATATAAATAGAAACAGGTTGCTTAGTAATAAGCCACTTCTTTCTCTCTGATTCATGCAGCACTACCCTGATGTGACATTTGCAATATCACAGAATCTTCCTATTATTAGGAGTCTGTTATCTATTTTTTCCTCTGCAGTCTCATGCTCTAAGGAATTGTACAGTGACTGCAGTAGGGATGTTAGAAGGGTACATCTGTTGGCCAGGCTTGTGCTGACAATGGGCATAGGGAAGGTTCTTTTTACCACACTTGCATCCTCTGCTGGGAAGTGCAGAGGTTCCCAGCATCCACAACTCCCAGTGTCCATGCAGGATTGCAGTCGGGAGTAGCCTCTCTGGCTGCCTGGCAATTTTCAGGTTGGTGTTTGGATGGTTTTGCAGTACTTTTGTCTGGATTTTTCCCTATATCTGAAGAAAAGGCAAATTATTCAAGAAGTGGAATTCCAGCTCCCTAAGCAGTGGTACAGAGCCGTTTCTGATGAAAGATGAGAATATTAGATACATTGAAGAAGTGATTTAAGTAAGCACAGACTGTTAATGTTAACATGAATTTGTGGGCTAGCAATGAGGTGTGAATGGATATTGGGCGCTTTAAGAGATTATTCATTCTGGAACCCAAAGATAAAACTGGTGAAGTACTGAAAATGGAAATTATGTGAGTAGCCCAAAATACATAAAATTTAACACTGAACAGGAAGAGAGCAGGACAGATATTGTATTTACAATTTAATATTTGATTCATGTAAGTAGGAAGATGCATACTGCCATCAAGTTAGTCTCACCCACCAGATATGTTAAAGAAAGCATGAAGGTCTAAACTCTAGTTTCCCTTCTTAACCTCTGTTTTGAACTGGTTTGTTGTTTTTTTTACCTTAAAATAATTCATTATTTTGTGTCTCTTTTTTCCACAGAAGCTGGTTTTGCGGATTTCCGCTCCACTTACTCAGGAGCTCAACGTTAAGTTATACTAGAATGGTCAGAACACACTGACTTAATTTAGCATCCTTAGCCCTTTGATTTATCCCACTTTGATTTTAATGTAAAAAAAAAAAAAAATAGTCATTAAAACATTGCATGTGAACCTGGTGATGGATGACTGATCTTTTTTTTATGTAGTATTTCTATCTCCGTATTCCTCAAAGAAAATTTTCAATAGTGGTTAGTGAGTATTAACATAAACTGATGTGGGTTCAAAATAGCATAGAAGAAATCATCCTGAAAATTCTCAATGGGACCATTTTCTACACAGCATACACTGTTTGGGTTTTTTCCAAAGCTATGGTAGGGAAAAAACAAGGAATTACCAACTAATTTCCATAGCCCAATACATAACCTGTCATTAATATAATATGCAATACATATAATATATAATCTAATAAATGTTAGTATAATATTATTTCAATTCTTATATCATCATAATTAAAAATCAGCCCATTGTCTCAGACTACAAGATGTGCAACTATAGTGATCGCTCACTTTTTCTCTCCATCCTGAAATGCGATTGCAGCCTGGACTTGTCTTTGTCAAAGTGAGTTGGGTCTTGTGGAGGAGCCTTAAGACTTGGGTCTCTCCAGAGCCTTTGTTGGTTGCAGTAAGGTCTGATGTGAGATATGTTTGCTCTGCACAGCGCAGAGAGAGCAACTTGCACATCAGCTTTTTTGTGGGAAGAAGCTGGAGAAAATAAGATACTACAAAAAGGTAGCTGAAGGTGGTAAGAAAGGGCTGAGGAAGAGCAGAGTATGGGCAGTGGGGTGAAGGAGGACAAGGTGACAGATAAACTGAACATCTTCATTGCCGTAGAATAGAGCATGTGACTACAGTCCTTGATGAAATAAACACCTGAAAAGTGTGCCCCTCTGAGTCCATGGACTCTGCAAATGGAGGTCCTTGTGCAGAGGAATGATATTAGCAGGGTTTGTGAGAGCTGTGGATTTGGGACAGAGGAAAGGTGGAGAACTCTGTTGGAGCAGACACCATCAGCAGGCAGCCAGACAGAGCAGTGCTTGCTGCACAAACCTGAGGAGCAGCAGAGGCCCAGATGATGTGTCTGCACTGTGTCTCATGGCTCTGCTCTAGAGATCCCAGAGCAGGGCAACCAGCAGGAGCTCCAGCAGCACAGGAGATGCTGGTCCAGAGGCTGCTGGCCACAGGCATTGCCTTGGGCTTGGCCACACTGCCAGTTATCCTCTCGTGCTGCCTGTGAGAGCTCTGTGCCTGCTCACCCTGTGCATGTTGCAGACATAAACAGAGAACATTGCTTGCTGCACAGCTTGCCAGTGTGGGATGGATGGGGACCAATAAAGCAGACCACTTCTGTGCCAAATCCAATCTCCTCCATGTGTCTTTGCAACAATGGCACCAAAGAGGTAGCTGCTCTCAGTTTTCCTCCAAATGTGAGGATGTTACTTCCTCACCATGGCAAAAGAGCAAACGGAGTGAGCAAAAGACCAATGTATTAGAAAAAGCAAATTTGTTAACACCCTGGCCTGGACTGGGGAAGAGAATTTGGTTGGTTTGTGAGCAGGACTCTTTTTGGTTCAGTGTGTTTCTCTCTAATCTGCCTTACAGTGTGGATAAAAGCAGGATTGGGAGAGGGAAGGTGGTGAATTTGCTGAAAAATGGTGAAAAAGGAGACTGGTGTGGAAACTGGAGATGTGGCTGGAGAGCAATGGAGATGTTGGAGATGTCACTTCTGTAAAGAGCTCTGATAGATAAACATGTGGAGTCAGCCAGTGCTCACAAGTTTTCTGTGAAATCAGTGACTAAGCTGGCACTTGCAGATATATCTTAATAAAATAAGTACAAAAAAATACACTCCTACCAGCATCAATATGCTGTTCAAGCTTGTATTACAACCTGGATTTTATTCCTTTCTTGTTATTTTATGCCTTGTAGTTTCAGTGAACACAACAGGAAATCACTAGTCAGTAATCCATCTGCCTTGGGCTCTGATTTCACATATTTATTTCATAAATGTAAGCAAAACAGCCTTTGGTCAGCTATTTGTAGCAGGGGCATCAAAGAAAAATGGAGTTTGTGTGGTCATGTGTGTCTATCTGGCTATTTTTCCTCTCTGAGCATTGAGGTGCAGGTGTGATTTTGGATCATTTACACTTTTATAAAGTTCTGGTTACACTGCTTCTTCCTTCCCATTAAAAAAAAATTCTTTTTTCTTTTTGTAAAAAGGATAACAACTTCATCAAAAAATACTGATGACCTGTTAAAAGTGGTATGAGGTGAACCCAAGAATCTACAGACAAATATTTTACTGTCTTTTAAGGTCAGATTGGATTAAGAATGAATTTCCCCAAGTCTTGGCATGGATTATATTTATTACAGATTTTCAGTGGAGTAAAAACTTCTCAGGCTGGGATTTTAAAGCATTGTTAGTCAGCTGCTTTCTCCATCCTGCCTTTGTCAGCCATAAAACCCACCAGCTGAGTTCCTCAAAATCTCAAGGAGTTGAAATGTAAAGGGAAAAACCTTACTTTGCATTTCAAAACCCTGGTGATTTTATGCTACTGCCTTACAAAGCCATAGAAAGAACACAGAAATTCACCACCCAAAGTATACTGACCCTAAGAATATGTCATTAGGCTTTTCTTCTGCAGAGAAAGGAAAAATAAACATTCTCCATACTACTCCGTGTACACTTCATTTTTTTCATCAAAAATGGATGATTTTAGGTTTAATCTCAAAGGATCCCCACTGTCCATTCTTGCAAAAGGTTTATGTTTGTTTTGTGTAACATGGTGGTTAAAGAAAAGGTGGTGGTAGTGTGAATCAGCTACACTGGCTGAAGTAGAACAAATTAAATGAACGGGACATGCACAGAGGGCTCTGCTGTTCTCCGTAAGCCAGACATGAAAAATCTCTTCTGATATGGCTTGATGAAATATTGCATGTCTTGGAATGAAGAGGAGACAAAAGAAGATGCTACAGCAAAGGAGACACAGGAGGAGATGTGGGACCTGAGCATGAGCTGCCAATAAAAGGTTTAATCAAAAAGGAGGTAGAGCAACTTCAGGAATACAGACAAGAAAAGGCAGAGATGCTGTAACTCTTCTGTTTGTCATACTGGTACCATCTTGTTGGAACACTGTCCCATTCTGGTGTCAGAGATATATGGAATATACTGAAATAAATAAGCTTGCCACAAAGTAAAGACACAAGCAGGTCTGAAAGGCTGCTGAAAAAATGCATTTTCTTGTGAATGCCCTGAGGAGCTCAACCTGTCTCTAATGGCCAGGAGAAGGCTCAGTCCCTTGAGAGTATCAGTGTACCTACAGGGGCAGAAATGCAGTGGCAGAAGCTCTTGAAATTGGCAAAGGTAAGATTTGGTGTCAGTTAAAAAAATTAGACAAATTCAAACACTGATATTTTAATTTTTGGAATAGTTTTTCAAGAACTTTGGTGAAATTTTAAAAGGAAAGTGGATGCTTTTCTAAAAGCAATGCTCTTGCTCACTAATTCAGAAGTTTTTTGGAACTGTATTCCTAGCCTGTGTCATGCAAAGTGATCACAGCAGTCTCTCTTGGGTTCATGATTATGAATAATGAAAGGATATTTTGTAGGTTTTTTGCAAAACAGGTGGAGATTTCTGTTGCAGAATTTCTGAGAGAGGGCATGATTTATGTCTGGAGTGAGAACTGAGATACCCCTCAGATTAGGCCCCTGATAAGTGGCCTTGGTGGGGCCTAGAAGCCTTTGATGCAGTAAGAATTTTGTTGTGGCGCAGTTAGAAATTATGTTAAGGTAACTACAAAGTAATGAGCTTTCTGAGTGTGAATTAGGGTACACCTGCAGTATGAAAAGCCTGACCACCTTAAGGCAAAGATAAACAATGTTAACTTGCCAATGGAAGTGCCTTTGTAAACTGTAAACTATATAGAAGTGTATATAAACTGCCATCTTCTCACGAATAAATGGAGAACGTTGCATTAATCATATTGGTTTTACGTGCGTTCTGTCCTGTCCAGCTTTCCTGTTTTATGAGGACCCTGAGTTCAGATTTCTGTGACAAGTCAGTGCTTTTGGAGGTCTCCATATAGCTACAAAGATTATAAAATATCATTGATATGATCCGATTTTTTGGTAAATACTGGTATGTAATTAACCATAACTGGTACTCTATTCAAATGTATTTTGAATATATTTGAATAACTTCTTCTAAAGGTTTGGCAATTAATTTTTTCCTGTCACCAGGTGAAATCTGAATCTGCCTGAAAATTAAAGCAATTCATTGCCATTCTTATGTAGGGACTATTTGCCACTCATTTGCCAACAGGTCTGCAACAAAGATGAAAAATACCGCTGGGTCTAGAGCGTGCATGAGGTAGACAACAAGCCTCCAACAGCAGAGCTGGTGCCTGGCTCTGGGAGCAGTGACCCTGTTCCTGGCCCTCACCCCTTGCCCAGGGGCAAAAGCCGCCCAGGGGCAAAAGCCACCCAGCTGCTGGTGTGACACAGAAAGGTGAGTGTGACATGCATGAATGCCAGTTTCCCCTGTGGTCTGGTGACCGGGCCTGGATGGAGGAACAGTTGGACGTCAGGGCTCAGCACCATCATGAAAGCCAGCGTGCAGCTCTCCTGGGATGCTCCTTGGGGCAGAGAACCACCAGGATCCGAAGCCTGGGCTGGGAAGTAGCACCTTGGCTTCCCTGCTCCTGGATCCACAGGGCAGGTGTCTGGAGCCTCAGCAGTGACACGGAGAGACCTTGGCTAGGGACTTGCCACTGTGCTCACTGCAAATGCATAAAATGCAAGTACTATGGTGGAGGATTATGAAATGAAGGTGAGATGAACCTACTGGGCTCAGAGGGAAGGAGACTGCCAGGGCTTTGTCTTGTGGGGCACATAAGAAGGACATAGAGCTGCCAGAAGATGTGCCAGCAAACATGGGATCTCTCTCTAGGGACTAACAAACTACAGGGATTAAAACTAGCACAGATGCAGATGCTCCCAGGTCGTGCCCCAGATTTGGCAGCCACTGCCTCATGGCTACCAAGAAGTCATCCTACAAGTATCTCAAAGAAAAAAAAATGCGCAGTGTCCTCTCCTGTTGGTCACTGAGTGAAATGA